CAGAGAGGACTCAATGGGTCGATGATGGCACACTTTTTCCCAGATATTCCCAATATTAGTCAGTGGCCTGGGCTGCCTAGGATACGCAGCCTTTCGTGCGTTGGTCCTGCGCTTTTTACTGCTGTCGTGCTGCTTCCTTCCGTTCATTCTGCGCAGCGCGGTGAGCTTGTCACTCCCACTATCCATACGGAAAGCGATTCTTTCACGGCCTGGTCATATCTAAGGTTGTGCCGGGGGTGGGCGGGAACGTGAATGAGCGCCGTGTAAAGTCGCCGGACAATGTTCCAAATGCCCTAAGTTACGATGGGACACTGGAGGGGGGGGGGGGGGGGGGGGGGAGGAGCCCGGGGGAAGAGACAGCAATAGACCAGTAGCGCGCCTTGCCGCAGCGGTGACGGCGAAGTGAAGAGTAAATGCCTGGGAACGATATTGCTATCTTTCCCGCGAAGACATCTTTCCGGAACACTCCCGTCAATTTTTACACGAGAAAGGCACTAAGAAAGACAGCTGTAAGACATCAATATCCACTTCTCGAAGCAAGCAATGCTTTTTGTTGTAACGTTCGACAATAAATCACATCGAGACAACTTCAGCAAGTTTAAGACATTAATTGCGCTTCCAACAACCCGATTCACGGCACTTGTGTCACAGGGTGAAGTGCAGGGTAATATAATGTAAAAATGACAGTACCGCGAACTGGCATCGTCAAACGAAAATACTGATGATTTACGTGAATAGTCGAGTTTGTGTCTCTATACCTGAAGGGCTGTCATAATAAAGCTACACTATACCATCTGATCGTCAAGAGCGATAGTTATATGCCGGTGACGTCGGCAAATAATTTCCGAAGTCTTTATCACCCAGATGGCGTGAATGGAAAAGGCCAGAAAGCTTACAACATAACATTTAGTTCGGTGTTTTTGTTACATCCTGCCTAGATTCGAAAAAAAAATGAACGTCAAACTTTGCTAAACAAAGATAAATTGGCTACAAAGGTCCTCGCGATCCCTGAGGAGGCATTGGGTGCATTCAGTAGCGGCCCCGGAGTCAAGGAGTCACTGACTCCTTCCACTGGACGGCTAAAAGTCAGTTCCGGTGAACGTAACTCCGGGGCTTCGGAGTCAAGCTCCGAAGCACCGAGTCCGGAGACGGTGCACGTAGAGTCAAAGGAGCTAAAGGTGACGTCATTTTCTGACTGGTGACTATTTCCGGCGCTAAAAGAGAAAAAAACAAACAAAATGGCGCGTTAAACTGCTTTGGTTTGTCGCGGGTATGCGGTTTGGGTCGCGAAAAGTGCTCAAGGTAAAACGAATACCGCGTTCGAATTTTTTTTTTTTTTTCAGGTAAGGCTTTTTCGGAATGTGCATTGGGCCGTAATTTGTTTAGTTTGAATACGCTAATAAACAACGTAAACGTTCATTTGACGCCGTGCCTTGACCGCCGTTGCACCGAAACTCGGTAATATTGACGATAGTCCTGTCCGCGCTCAACAGAGCAAGCCAGGGTATGAACGCGAATTCGGTAGCCGGTTAGACACTCACGCAGAGCATGATACCGATTAATGTTTTGTTTGCGTAGCTAAATCGGGGTGCACGTTGGCTGAGCCTCGCTTCGGCCGACAAAACCTTGATCGCCGAGCGCGGCCGAACTTCCCGTGTGTATACGATTACTTTTTATAGGAAGTTCGATACAAAGGGCAGAAAAAACGTATGACCGTATAAAAGTATCGCAACCGGCAGCGTAGGTCCGCCAAGCTCTATATTTAGCGTGGGCTGACGACGTTTTTTGTCGGTTTTTATAACAGTAGCTGCCTTTGCACCGCGAAGCGAAGGGCTCGATCGCGTTGCATCGCTGATGTGTACAATCACCCGCTTTTTCTTCAACGACCCTTTCAATACATCTTCAATACAGGCGTCAAATAAAAGCGATCGTGCTCGCCATCGTCTGCTTCCAGTTTATTCGGAGACCGTCTGGCACAGGGGAGGAAGCGGAAGTTGCGTAGAAGCAGGTTTGGAGCCGCGGGTTTTTTTGCCGTTCAGTAGGCGCTCCCATGACTCCGACTCGAGTAACTCCTTTTGGAGCTGAGGAAGGCGCTACTGAACGCCCCCATTGGGTAATGAAGACGTGGGGAGAACTAAGATTTGCAAAGGCACCGAAGTACAAAAAACGGGTATAACTTTCATGGAAGGCTATTAGAAGTCTGAACGGCCGCGCGTCAATGCCCCCCCCCCCCCCCCCCCCCGCCCCCCTTAACACACAAAACAAAAGTAAATCAAATGTCTGCGCTGATCGATTTCTTACACGATTTCTTAGTTTATATTGGTTAGGCTGAGGCACAAATCATAGGTAATCCAAATGTCCATACCATTGCTTAAAATAAACTGCCTCAGGCATGATGACAACCGCTTCCGTCTACCCACAATAACATCCGGATGAAAGTTTTTGGGCAGTAAATAATAAGGCTCACCGGCTTTCCCCTTTCCCCCTTTTTTTTTTCCAAAATGGCATAGCGTTTGAAGTAGTTGACGAGTCAGATACGGAATTTGGATGTTTGACTGAAAATGAAGTTGCACATCAAGCGGTTCAAAACAGCGTCTCACAGCAGGCTCTTTGAGCGTGGCGAACGAAAAGTGCCTTGTAATTGTTTTACAAGTAGCAGCAACATTTGAAAAAGAAAAATCAAAATCAAAATGGCGTCATTCAGTTCAGTTTTCTGCTGTGCGCCGCCATTTGCTTCCTAAAATCTGCACCGTCACGCAGTCTGCGCTTCAATGAATATCGCTACTTGTGGAAGCTCTTGTCTAGGAACTTTAGGCTACCGCGGCGAGATCACACTTGGGATGCTTAAAGAAAACTCGATTGAAGGGGGCGAGAATAGTATATAAATCAGGTGAGATTTATGTCTTGATGACCATGTTCCTCTTTCTTCTGACAGCGCCTAGTATTTACCAATCCATTTACAACATATTGAAGACAATCGTGAGTATCGGATTCGATAAAAAGTTAGCCACCTGCAGAAGCTTTCTGTGCGCACTTTAGCGATCCTATATATTCACCAAGCTTCGAGAAGCAAATGGCGACAACAGGTCTGAAGAAATACAGGCATTATCCATTTGAAGGTGAACATGCAATCGTTAACCACTTCCCACTGGCACCGCAATGGAGCACCAGCCGTGTTCGTTTACACGCTTTGTTTCTCGACCTACCATGCGCGGTTCGCAGGGCACACAGGCAGCCCGGTCCCTGCTTCAAGGCAGTAGAGGGTTTTAGGGAACCGCTTTGAATCTCGGATCGATTGCAAATTGACGTGTGTAAAAAATGAGTCCTCGGTTTGGTCACAAAAATGCTATATCGCTCGTTAAATAGGACAACGAGGCTGGACATGTGACCGATGTGAACTGTTGGTGCGTACCTGGGGAGTGACGCATAAAGCCTTTTGCGGAGATCTTAACAAAAAGTAACAAACGAAAAAGAAAGGCACCTGAGAGTACGAGCGTACGTTTGTGCATAAACCTCTGAAAAGTCCCAGGTCTTAATTTGGGCTGGGAGCCAAGGGGGCTGAGACGCCTGGCTGCGGTGCGTAGAGTTCCGTGTTCAAGCCATTGGAATCTCGCTTTTCTTTGTTTTGCACTATAACTCGATTAAAACTCTTATTTACCTTTAGTTTTTTGTTGTTTGTTTTGTCCCCTTAGCGCCTACCGTGGCAACTCGGCGAAAGCAGTTGCCAAATCATTCGATAGTTTGCTATCGCTGTTCCCTTATACCTTTTTGGAAATTAAAATAATTTCTGTACACCAGAGTGCATTAGCCTACATTTGAAAACCGTAACATTATCTTACAAAACCTTTTGCCAGGCACTCGTCGCTGACTCCGTCATGAAGCACGCACAAACCTTTGTACGCGATCGGTTGTACACATTCGGTCGTCCCAAGCGCTGATACCGATCGTAAGCACTCTCACCCATGTTATGGTTGAGACACAAGACACTGCTTACAGATTGAATATTCTGTTTTTTTGTAACATATAAGAGAAGTTTCGTACTTGCTTTTGCTTTATAGATAGGAAAACGGCAGCAGGGGTATGAAACTAAAAAGTGATCTGGCGAGTGATCTCGCCGAAACGCTACTGAAATCAGCAAGGAGACAAGAAGAATAAAAAAAAATCTGAATGTGAATTAGTGTTTAACTTACATGAGCAGTGCTCTAGAAAAAAAAATGCAAACTAAAAATAAGAAAATATAGGTTACCTCAAACTGACTAAAATCCAGAACTTCGCATATCCAATCATCTTGAATACCAAGCCATTTTTTAAAATATATTTTTTAACCCCGGCACAGAAGAATTCAGACAGATAGCGTCTCAAACTCAGGTGCAAAATGCTGGCTTTGAAGCTTTTATACCCACCTCTCTAGGTCACCCACGACGTCCCTCTCCCCAAAATATAGAAGCCATAAATCCCCATCCTAAGGCTGAAATTGTGATTCATGCGCACCACCTCAGCGTGCACTTCGACCATTTTCCCCCTTTTATTTCGTTTATTGTCTTAAGTTCCAATCCAAACTAGCATATATCAGTATTTTCAGAAGGTTAAAGGAATCATTTTAAGAAGGTGAGCTTAGGATTTTTTTGCCTTTTAGCTATTATTTGTTTCTTACTATCTTCCTCAACAAACCATTTCCTGGTTGCTCCTTAAGTATGTGAATTCGGTTAATTTCCGTCATGTGTTCAGCCTGTTTGGCGACACAATTTTTTTTTTTTTTTGTGAACGAAGCGATGACGCATTTTGGCGCACGTCGATTGGTGATCGTATCCGTGCCATTCGGAGACGCACAACGATTCGCTGAAACTCTCTAATGTCAGTAAAGAGCTGTCGGCAACCGCGTACTGTTTTTCCATTAGATGGCGAGTGTACGCAACACAGGTCTAAAAGTAAAATTTACAGTATTTTCGAAAACTCTACATTAGGAAGATCCCAATATTTTTTTTTATTATTTATTTCAGGACAGGCCCGCCTAGGTGGCGTTTGCAATGAACGTTACAGCATGGTAATGGTGGAGGACGTGCCTATGTCATTTGGAATGGTGAGCCTCTTGCCGCACGAACTGGGACATGCGTAAGTTCACCTAAGGAGCTTGTCCTCTGCTAAGAAAACTAACTAAAATTTTAATTTTTTTAGCAGCGAATGTTGCAACTTTGCATTTCCGATTGGTACGGATACAGTCGGAAATACAAAGCTCCGATAATATCCCGATTTTTGTATCTCCAATTATGGTCCATAATCGGTGTCTCGGATTCTCTCCAATATACTGATTTCAGATGGTATCCCGAATATAACCATTCCCTCATTGGTACTTTATATGTCATATAAACCTTACTGATAACAAATAAAGCCGTTATTTATTCATTCATGCCGCCTTTTAAGCATTGAGTAGTACATCATATAGTGGTATTTGTCAATACAATGTAATACGTTGTCAGTAATTCTGAACGGAGCAATGGCCACACTTTGTTTTTAAGCAATTGATAAGTATGAACACTTAATCTGTCATTTACAGCAAAAGGACTAAAAATAATCACGTTACTTGGATATTCAGCGTATTCTCTGTTATTATCTATTTAACATCGAAAGCATTTGTCGCCTCTTTCAGACAAGTCCAAATATAATAAAAATGTGTTTTCGGAGTACTGGATGAATCTAAACTAGAGCAACACTACTCCGATATCATAAGGCGTGTCAAATGATTGCGTGGTAATTTATCTACGTGACTTACCATAAATCAGTATCGATTTAATATACAACACCCGAATACCCAATTTTCAGAGCAAAAAGCAAAGTATTCATATATGATATCGGTATTGGATTCCGCGCGTGCAAACCGAATAAGGTTGAATCGCCCAGGTTTATCTCTCTGTCTGTCTGTGTGTCTGCCGTTCTATGTGCGTGCGTGCGTGCGTGCGTATATGCCTGTGTGCGTGTTTGTTTGAGCATGTGTGTATGCGTTTGAGCGTGTGTGATTTCAATGTAGCTGCACCAGTCAACTCATATATGTAAGCTCTGTTGAGTTATTTTTATCCTGATCAACCTATTTCATGAATACGGCTTTTTGATCCATAAGGCGGCTTATTTTGAGAAGCATCGTTTTTTGGCTATGCTCCAACTAATATATTTCTACCATACCAAATTAATTTTTCATCCTCAGAACTCTTTTGTAACAGACAAATAGTAAAAGGTGAAACTGCGTATAACTCAGACATATTCGATTCTTTAAAAAAAATATCTACAACATAGGTCTAACAAACCATAAGGCACCAAATCGTTCTTCTAAAACAACACCCGCACATTTTAGAGCGCAGCTCTTAGGAGCCCGTTTCCGGCTTGAGCGGCATCGGCGTCGGCGTCGCCGTCGGCGTCGCCGTCGCCGTCGCCGTCGCCGTAACTGCGCTGTGCATTATGGGTAAATTTCCCCGCTAAATATAGCGGAAAAATTTTCCAGATAAACCTACTGGAAAACTTTCCCCGCTTAGCGGAAAAAATTTCCCCGCTAAATCTAGCGGAAAAGTTTCCCTGCTAAATCTAGCAGAAAATTTTCTTCGCTAAATCTAGCGGAAAACATTTCCCCACTAAATCTAGCGGAAAAATTTCCCTGCTAAATCTAGCGGAAAAAAATTCCCCGCTAAGTCTAGCGAAAACTTTCCCCGCTAACTCCAGCGGAGAAATTTCCGCGCTAAATCTAGCGGAAAAAATTTTTACGCTAAATCTAGCGGAATAATTTCCCCGCTAAATCTAGCGGAAAAATTCCCCGCTAAATCTAGCGGAAAAATTGCCCCGGTAAATCTAGCGGAAAAATTTCCCCGCTAAATTTAGTGGAAAAATTTCCCCGCTAAATTTAGCTGATAAATTTCCCCACTAAATCCAGCGGAATAAGTTCGCCGCTAATTCAGGCGGAAAATTTGCCCCGCTAAGTCTAGCGGAAAAGTTTTCCCGCTACATTTAGCGGAAAACTTTCCCCGCCAGATTTAGCGAAAAATTTCCCCACTAAATCTAGCGGAAAATTTTCTCTGGGGAGTCACGTGACCTGGGGGGGTCACGTGACCCCATGAGATCACGTGACCTCCTCCCGAAAAGCACGTGAAGGCCACGTGACCTAAGGGGTCACGTGACCTTCACGTGATTTTGGGAGGGGGTCACGTGACCTCAGGGGGGGTCGATGACCTTTATGGCCTTGGCTCCTCCTCCTCAAGAGCTGCGCTCTAATTCGGCGTAACAGGGAGCTGTAAACGGCTTTCATTTTTTTTCTCCTCATTTCGCCGAAAACCACTATAAGTAGTCTTTAAAAAATACGTATTATATTTGGAACGTAAATATAAACGTTGATTAAAGGGGCTATGCAACGACATTGGGTAGGAATATTTCTTACTTTACACCAGCTTGCTGGCACTAGCGGGACCCAAGAACACTCGAATGCAACGCCACGGACCAAGAAGCGTCTTCGTCGCGGCGGAACTCAAAGGATGAAAGCGGAGCCTTTCTGTCAGCCTGTTCTTTCAAAGCCGCCTTTTGCTCCTTCGCAAAATTTGATGACGGAGCTGTGAGTACAATGGCTACAGTACGATCCCCGCGAATGCGTCATCGAGCTTTGCGGTTACGACGTTCAAATGCTGCTCACACAGTGGACGCGAAGACTACGTACGCATTCGATCTGGGTTCGTGACAATCGATGCCTCGACGTGCATTCGGGAAGTGGCCCGTGTCCAATCGCTGCAACGACGACAATACCCGAGCCATGAGAATGTCTGGAACTCAGCGCGTGTCCTGTGCTTTTCCAACCCCAGCGCGTGGTTATGATCAACACTGGCGGCATATAGTCGGCTCCAGATCACGTGGCCGCTTGTTTTGGCTGCGAGTTGAGGGGTGAACGCTGCTCGTTTTTCTTTATTTTTTTCTAGAAATTCTATTGCGTGGGGTGAAAAACAAACGCGTGTTTCTTAAGTCATCAACGTGAGGGATCCGTACTAAGCGTTATTTGCGCAAAGAACAAAAATTGTTGCATCGCCCCTTTAATCATCCCTAGTATCTTTCTTTTCCACTCTATTCTGTATTTGGTTTGCCATGCTAAACCTGTGTGACGTACGGGAACATTTTTGTGTTTTATTTACCCCCTGCCGAACCATTAAATGCGTTATAAATACAGATACAACACAGCTTAATGTCTGGGGGTTGTAAATTGTGTGTACGGGGGATATCAAGACAATTGACTCCAGACAACAAAGTTGCATTTCGTGGGAAAATATGCCTTACGTATTTCGAAGTACAACATTGAGGACGTTTAATTTACTGTACTTCTCTTTTTTGATTTGTAAAAAAAAAAAAAAAAAAAATGGAGCTTGTTTTTTTTTTTTTTTACATCTGAGAGATTTTCTTTTGAAGAATTATGGGGTCATATTTTTAAAGTACACATCCGTAGAATTGATCGGCCAAGAGCTGCTAGGAGTGAACGATCGAATTAAAGGGGAAAAAATAATGCACATATGAGAAAGAGAGAGATAGACCGGGGTAAGAAGAGGTGAAGTGTACCGCAGAAAAATCTACCATTTTCCATTTTCACTTCCTAATGTTACAGTCTCGGCGCGCCTCACGATGGAGTAATACATATTTGGAATGAACGTCTTCCGCCAAGAAACGACTGCCGCAAAGATAGCGAAGATGGTCACTTCATTATGCATCCTTTCGAACCAGGCAATGAACATTTCTCCGACTGTTCCAAACAACATATGATTGCCTTTATATCGTAAGTATTGCATCAAAAATCTTATAACAAGATGCATGCTAATGTTAGCCTTGAGGCAGCTACACAACGTTTGCCGATAAGATGACAGGAACGTGGAAGCTGCGTGCTTGATGGACCAATGAACCTCCTCTGTTTTGTAGCTTGATCCTGCTTTCTTTGCACGAGGGCATGGCCGGGACCAGGGTGTAAGATAGACAGGTGAGGAAACGAGAGACAAATGAGCGACCGGATTGTGTCCCCCTCGGGTTTCTCTTTTTCTGTGGCGCCATCTATGTGGAGCACCGCGAACTCTCACTCCGGGTGGGCGACCGGTGGCGACCGGCTAAACTGACGGAGATGATTTCTCGTGGATTTTCCATAAAGGACTGTCGTTCTCTCGGTTTAATTTGCGCACTCTCCCATAAAGTTCCTAGCAAATCCGATTCCAATTTTTTTCCTCTCGGCGCAGCGCCATCTGTCGCAAATCGGGGGTACCCGCAAGCAGACGAGTACACAATCTGGTAACGGCGCTGCGGTAGGCTTCTATGGGCCGTTTCCCCACCTGCCTATCTTACACCGTGGCCGGGACTGCGGTCATGCACTCTAAGAAAAAGTGAGCACCCCCCCTAGTAATCATGCGTTTTGACGGCTGTAACTACTCCACAGGCTTACTTAACTACTTGCTGGGCTCGAGCCATTGAGCGTTATCACCCTGTTGGCAACTGACAAGCATGGGTAGTCACGTCTTACAAACTCTTGAATTGAACATTCAAATGCATGCAGCCGTTCAATAGTAAAAGTCACTTAAAAAAGTTTAAAAAGTACTTCAAACTTGTTTTCTTTTTGAGTTGGTTACCATTTATTCAAATTTAAACCGGTCAAAACAGGCGTGTGGCTCAGTTCACCTAAACTGGCAGAAAACAAACATGCCAAAGAGTACAGGCAACCTTGGTAGGCACCTACTAAAACCCGAGGCAGATAAAAAGTATCGCGGTTGTCCTTTTTGGTTCCGTCGCGGGTTTTACCATGTACTGCTAGTAAACAGCTGGCAGCTGGCGTCGTGCTCGAGGAATTTAACCAAATCATTAGAAAAGCACAGGACGCTACGCACAGGCGTGAGTTCACTGGAATGTTCGCCGGACGAGATACTCTTGTCGTCTTTTATTCTGCGGTTCAGTAAAGAGCGTGCTCTCATTAAAGGTGTGATCGGTCAGTTCTGCCTGCAGATCAGTTGCAAATGGCATTCCCGGTCCACCGAACTTGCACGCCTGTCATACCCAATTTTTTAGCTTTCAAGTGCAGTGAAGTATGGAGCTTCGAACACCACGACTGAGGCCGGACAGGAAGAATGTACACAGATATCTGGGATCATGGCTGTGTATTTCAATATTTCTCTGTCTTAGGATATATGATTCGCCTTCACTGGCTCATTTGGCACATTTCATCGAGCATACTTGATAAAAAATGCTTCAAAGAAGTGTGTGTCATCCATGATGGAGTACTTTGAAGGGGACTAGGATTTCAGGCCTTTCGGCACGCGTTCCTTTTACCCAATAAAGAATTCCAAGTAAATACTGTAAAACAATTAATCTTCGCGAGCCCTCAATTTTCGCAAATTTCACAAATTGAAGAATTCGCGAAATTTAAGGGCGCGCAAAAATTTCGGTCCTGAAGATTTTCTATGCAGGCGTCTGGAATTCGCGAAATTTAGTGGTCGCGATTATGTCATCTGTGACCGACTCGCGAAAAATAGGGGCCGCGAAAATAAAGGGTTTTACAGTATCCAAAAATAAAGCGTTGGCAAACATACACGGTGTATTCAGTTTAGATTTTTTTCGTTTTTCTTTTTTTTTTTTTATAATAGTACTGCTGGACAAGCGAGCAGGCACAGCGCAGAGAACTGTTGTCGGCGTTCTTTGATGCTTGAGGCCAGTTAAGACACTTGAGTTTGAATGCGTTTGACAGCATTGCGTCGACAACCGAAAGCGACTCACCGGCACACCTGTGCTTCGTATGAAGCGTGGATTCCGATTCAAGGAATCGTCTTGGCACGCGATATAAGCAGCAGGGATGTCCTGGCTTCGCTCTGTCTAAACCAGGCTTCAGATAATTTAGCATACGCATTTCGCGTTCGCTGTAGGTGAAGGCACGGCCCAAAAACGGCAATTCTGCACTGTCCTCTTGGCGCGAGCGCGAGCGCATAGAACGCATATTCGAAAGACACGCGCTTGAGCAGAAACAATTGTAGCGAAAAGAATAAAACTGAAACAACGCTTCGGGGAGGACCGGGAGGACCGGCGGACGGGCTTCGCTAGAATCACCTGCGCGCGCTCAGTGAACCGCCGCTGAAGTCATTCGGATATGTAAAAAGAGAAAAGAAAATGCATCAGCGTGTTCAGAAAGTTGTGATTGCAGAAATTGGTTTCGATAATTAATACAATTAATTAAACAGGCTTTTGTATACTTGAAGTGTAGGCAAGCGAGAAAACGAAACTGATCAAAACGTGACGTGTAGTGACAATTCAATTGGATTTATAACTTGCAGTTCGCTTTTGCAATGAATTACATTAGAGATACGAGCGCTTTCCTAACTGCAGTAGAGGAAAATAATATATACGGATAAACCTTGCACAGTCTTTTCGTATTTATGCAAAAAATGACAGTGGTCACCATCCTAAACGGTCACGGAAAATACAGCATTTTATAAGCTGGTGGTGTCGACTAGTTGTGTATATAGGAATGTAGAGTGTCCATATCTCATGTTGTACCGTGTGCTGTTCGTGAACGCGGTCATGTATAATATAGTGTGGTGTGGAAATGTAATACGTGCATGTCAGGCGAGGCACTCAGAGCAAACACTGTTGGTTTCTTTTTTTCTTAGTTTGGGCGATGTTCGTTAGGTGGCGCCAGTCGCCGCCCAATTCAAGGAGTCGCGCGTTTATGTGTCTACTTATTTGAGTGAAAAACATGGAGGCACTTCATGGCTCCACGGAGCAGCCACAAAGGGTTCGGTTCTCGGCCTCTCGTTCCAGTGAGATCAGTGGATCAGTCCCGTAGCCAGTTGAATGGGTGTTCCGTGCGGTGAATAGTGCGTGCACAGGCGCGGTGGGGATTACCAGGGGCTTGGAAGTGCATAACGAACGCTCCCACGTGAGCAGGAGCGTTGAGCGATCCAAACCGACGCCGCTTGAATCGGTGATGCCTCGCCTCGCCGCTGTCAACCGAAAACGCCGGATCACTTGCGGCAAGCACAGCAAGCAGATTCTCTATTCAAAAAGACATCATTTTACTTGTCGCTATATGATTCCTTTTTTGAATGTTTTCTGGCCTCGAAGTAAATGCAGCCGGCCGCGCGAAAGCAGTCGCTGAGGAACCCCCTCGAATGCCCCCCCCCCCCCCCTCACATCGCCGCCCCTACTCGTAATAGGTGCGGTGCCGGTGCTTCGAGGCGCGTTTTGGAGCGCACGGAAGGCAGCGGACGGGCGTACGCACTTGAGAATCGTATTTTAGCAAAAAGCAGTCCAGCTCGCTAGGCCTTTCTCGTATTGCTCCACTGTCGCTTGCCAGCCGCCATGTTGCTTTTGGGGGTGCTCACTGTGACTACCTGTTCATTGTATGCCGCGTGACTACCCATGGGGTCGTTAGTATTACTAAGGGGAAGTACCGATATCTGTGACGGCTTCTGACTACCCCAAATGCAGTACCCTACGACTACCCTTTTGTTGAGAGTGTGTGGCGAAAGACGGACGGACGACCGGTCCATTTAGAATGTAGCTTTCATTACCCTGTCAACTTAGTAATGAACAAAGTACATATACGACCTCACACTGCCGAGCATCACCTACATTCTGTTGGGGTGGCGAAGAGCAGACGCCAGTTGAATATATTGCTACATAATTAAATGCAACTGGCACAAGAGTGCGATATTATTAGCAACCCGATACAACGTATTTAGGTATTCGCTAAATAGAAAGGCACACAAGAACTTAGGTGATGAAAACTAATTTCTAAAATATAGTTTGTTGCGACCAAACCACCACTATATAGAGCGACCCGACTGTAGCGCCCAGCAAAGAGGGAGGGTGGGGGGGGGGGTGGCACTCCCGCCTGCCGGGGGGATGTACCGCGTTTCGGGCAGGCATTCGGTGCGAGAAGCTGAGTAAAGAAGTAAGACATTCCCTGGTTGTTCCGAGTCCTGCTCTTTCGGAGTTGATTACACGAATGACCATGTGAACCACCCTGGCTGCGAGAGTAAAACAAAATTTCGCGTCTAACGACAGACCCGTCGGTGTGGTCGACTCCGGAAGGGGACGACGTTTTCTGCCGTTTGTATTCTGATTGCGTTTACAAGTTTTGCAAGATTTCGCCTGTAGACAGATCCACTCCGCTAGAGGAAGCAGCTATTAATAACTTGCCGTTCGGGAACAAGACTCACTTCTGTGCATTCCAGAGTTCAGCCGATAAGGTTGTCACCAACGCCGTGGGGACAAGACAATTCCCGCGAGCTGTGGTCATAGTTTAGCCTATCCCCCATACTTCCGTGTTGACGAAGGCTACGCCAGAAACTTAAACTTGGAATAGCGGAAATTTAGGACACCACGACCGCAAACAAGTAATTATCGATACGGAAGATGTCTGCTAAACTTATAAAGGTACACGAAAAGAGGAAGAGAGAAAAGAGAAAAAAATCGCATTAACAGAGTGTTTATCTTCTTTTTCCTCTTGTTGAGTTGAGTACAGTCTAGCTCATGAGGTACTTGCCGCGTCCGCCGTTCCAGTGGACGGCGGAAGGTCCTTTAAAGCCGCGCGCATTCGGAAAGTTAGAACAACTCCGTTGCGTCCCCTCTTGCGGCGGATCTCGGGAGGCCCGCTGAGTATGGTCTTGGTCATGGGGTATTCGGCCCCTCCGCTGTTGGGGAGGACGGCGGAAGGTACGTTGTGGCCCGTATTCCAGCGAATATGAGAACTCAGTTGCTTCCCCATTGCAATGGATCTAGGGAGGGCCACTGAGTGCGGTCTCG